TAGGGGGGATCAGCAGGTGCTGGGGGAGTCCCTGTTCCCCCGAGCGCCGCAAGGAGTGACCAGGAACAACAGTCACAAGCTGGCAGAGGGAAGGTTTAAGTTGGACATCAGGAGGCACTACTTCACGGTCAGGGCGGCTAGGGTCTGGAACCAGCTTCCAAGTGAGGTGGTGCAGGCTCCCACCCTGGGGGTTTTTAAGAGGAGGTTCGATGACCACCTTGACCCCAGTACTCTTTCCTGCCATGGCAGGGGGTCGGACTAGATGATCTGCTCAGGTCCCTTCCGACCCTAGAAACTATGAAACTATCTCCACTAACGTTACATCCACTGCTGAAGTCTTAAATTCACCTGCACTGCTGTACTCACCTGCATAATTAGGCTCATCACAGACCAAAAATAGTAAGGGTTTTTGGGAACAATCTTATAAAGTGCCATTCCAGCCTGAAAAAGAAAAGATGTGCACATATCATCCCCCAAAGTGAATCAATTTATAAGCTGTAATTTTAGCAAATGCAAGTTAAACAGTGTGACTAAAACAGAGGACAATATCTGGGGATTAATGGACAGACGGGAGGGGTTATTGACTCCATTTGACCACAATCTCAAAAAGACCCTTTTTATCCCAACATATATTACAAAAGCAGCAGCAAATGGAAGAAGCTGTATAAGCCTCCAGTTCTTAAGGATTACTGTTTTAGCAGGCCTGACAAAGCATTTCTAGAGGAATGGCAAATTAGATGATTGCCTTAACAGACAATGGATTTCATTACCAGGCTGACACATGCACGGTAAAACAGAGCACTTATGCCTGCAGATTATGGATGTTTTCAGCTCTGATCTCCACTTGTGCACATGCTCATTAATATACACATAACCAAACTCAGACCTTGTGAATGTAACAATTGCACATGTACACTTAATTCGTACATACGTGCTTGTGCTATGATTTTTAGAACAAGTCCCTGGAAACACAAATGCATGTGCACAGGGATGACTGAGGAGGCCCAGCTGAAAATGTAGCCCTGAGTATCAAGGCCTAGCCAAAGTTTTCAAAGATATTTAGCTGTGAACAGAAGTTTTCACAGTCTTCTCACAACTGCATTAATTCTTTATATAAACAGGGGCTTAACTTTCCTCCTGTACTTTAGCAGTTTTAATTTGAGAAGAAATAACAGATACTTACAGTATTTGGTATTTTAAACTACCTAATCCGCCTTTACAGGAGGCGCAAACTTTTCCTTTTGATTTCTATGTTCTTTGCCAGTTTTCTGATGATGATACTCAATTACATATTCAGGGCTTTCATTTGAGATTAGACAGAACTGAAGAGATGATGGTTTATTTTTCACCCCCAATCCTATTAATGGTTTGAGGTCTTCATCTCTAAGTCTTTCGGTAAAATGGCATGTACCAATTTAATTTACTATTCATGAGGATAAATCTGGATAATTAAACCAGATACGTTTGCATGGGGCCCTGAACATACCAAAGGTCAAGTCAATGTTAAGTAATGTTATCTATTTAAAACTGGCATTTTTCATTCATTATTCCAGCTAGGAGTACAATTATTAGAAGGTCAATCGTCTGAATTTTGGGCTGTCACATAAAGCTCCTAACGCAGCACAATGTACTGGGCTAGAGTAAACAATGGGGCCTCTTCACTGAAGTTCTTTTCACTGGAGGACATCTGCAAAAGTTGCAATTGCTGGAGGGTTTTTTGAACTGCAGGCAGAGTTCTACACATTCAGGGTAGGAAAAAGAGTCTTGCTTAGTTCAGTAATAAATTCAAGCTTCACCTATAAACAGATTTTTCGTTTTCTAGGCCTTTGCTCTTTACCCATAACTAAACTGGGACTGCAATACTATTCAATTTGAAATGACCTAGTACTGATGTGATCTCAGGTCCTTGCTGATTCTGAACCCTGAAGTGTAAAACACATGCTCATCTGTGCTGACTTCAAAAGAAATATAATCTTTAAAAGAGGTACACACATAGAAATAGCTAAAATTATATAAAATATCTGAAAAATTAAGTGAGCAATGATTCTGCCTTTTTTTTGGAAAATTCCTAAATAAAACAATTGTTTTAATATGACCATGCATGAAACAAAATAATTCTGGGTTCTGCTTCGTCTGAATAATCATAATCCTTATTTAAGGCATTAATTCAAAAGGAATGACAATCATGGATGATTTGAAGGATCTGTCTATGCAAACAAAAACACAGTAAATAAGCAGAGTGTTAAGTTTAGACTAGTACCAAATAAGCATGCCGTGTTTCTGTAGAACAGCAACATCACATATGCTGCAATACACTTCATGTCAAACTACATTCCTGCCCTTTTAGTATAAAAGCTGTTAACTTCTGACCCAGGGCATTTTAAACAGGAATAAATCAGATCACTCTGAATTAGTATCTAGCACTTGGCAGGCATGTATATTCCCTTATTAATAATCCTGTAACTTGGTGCTATACATACACCACCAGAAAGCCACCACTCACCTAGATACCGACTTCAGATGCAGTTAGCTCTTGTAAGACATCAGTCTCGCTGACACCAGCCAAATAATTAACCACTGCAATCATTGCAAATTTAGAGACTAACAACCCAGAGATTTTTTTTTTTGTGCTGTGGTCAAATCTAGAGCTATTTTTAAATGAATTTCAAAGTCATTGAGAACAGTGAGAATTGCTGCAAACTAGCAGTCTTGGGCATAAATGTGACATCAGACACACTATGATACCATAAGACTAATCCTTTTGTGAAGTAATCTATTTAAAAGTTTCTCATTCTGCAAAGTGCCAAGTACAGTTCAGCCCTTTCCCCAATCTGAACTAAGCTGTGCTACAACCCAGTTGAGCCATGACAGAGATTAGCACCATTGTTCTGCTCTGGTTTTGGTTATACAGACTGAGATTTCATGTAAGGATACCAGTCACCTTATTAGTGGGAAGAGAGAAAGCTTGGAACTGACTGGCCTGCTTCTCTGTCCTTTTATTTATTATTTTTGCATACGTGAAAGAGGGAGTATGCATGCTTGGGAAAGAAACTTCCATTTATAGGCATTCTCCAGGCACCTAATTTGGAAAGGACAGAAACAAAACTAACAGGCACAAGATTGCTTTGCCAAATGAAAACTAAGATGCACTTAAAGTAAAAAAAAAAAAAAAAAAAAAAAAAA